GCACAGACTGATTCCCCAGCTACATCATCTTTCTTTACTCGTATTTTGAAACATAAAAAATCGACAGAAAGTGAATTGCCAGATGATGATAATCTTTCATCTAATGGCAAAGATAACCCAAGAAAATCTACTAAATGGATATTCCTTGCCCCAAAAACTGCAACAAATTCACAAAGCTCTATTTCTAGTGGTGCATCCGGTGACCTTAATGATTCAGCATATGAATCAGGTTTAGAAACAGATTCACCAAAAAAATCTAAAAAGAAAGAAAAAAATTTAAATATCGAAAGGACAATAATCACAGAATTGAAAGCCGAAGATGAGGATTACGAAAAAGTCAAAACAATGTTTCAAGTTGGACTTCCTAAAAATAATATTCTTGGAATATTTCAGTTACAAATGCCTACTAAACTTTTAAATAATCATGAAGCATATAAGAACCAAATTGCTAATAGTGCAAAAACCTCAAAAGATAGAGTAACGCATAAAATGTTTCATGGTACAAAACATCCTGATAGTTGTGATCCTCAACGTTTTATCAACAATCGGAAGGCTAAGTTCTGCAAATCAGGTTGCGGATTTTGTGGAATTGCACAAGAAGGAAATCAATCCAAATTTTCTAATTATAATGGCAGTAAGTATTCTCATCAACTTTTCACTTGCTAATTGCCCTGATATTGATCTTTTTTTTTTCGATAGAAATGTGGTTTGCCAACAATTCGATTACTTCATTGGGTTATTGCGGAACTCCTAGTGTAAAGACTATGTTCGTCATTGATGTAATTGCTGAGCAATATCAGGGAATACTAATAGTTAGTAATAACGCAGTAAGTATCATAAATTATCTTAAATGGGCATCGATCTTATGCTTAAAAAAAATTCTAATCACGATACTTAAATTAGGCAACGATACCAAGATACCTTATCGTATTTAAATAATATGAAAGAGAGAAAATTGTTTTGCATGTGCTGTGCGCAGCAACGATATTTTACATTTTCCTTAATATATGGGATCTTTTCTAAGAAAATTATGTTGTAATTACTGTATATGATTTACATTATTATCTTAGTGGCATTTTCTTATTAAAAAGATCCCATATATTAATATCCATATTCCTAACGTTTATTTAAATCGAAGATTATTCTGTGATATTATTTAAAGACAACATGATTGAGATTACTCACGGACGTTAAGACATTACTCATAAACATTATTCAAAGACACTATTCAACTTAGAAGACAATTAATGAATTTGTCATTCTAAACCAACTTTTAATTTATATATAATAATAATAAATACTTAGAATTCTAATTAGAATTCTAACATTGTTAAACAATAACTGTGAGGTTTCTAGAAATAATTCGTAAAATCACAAAATAACGACGGCAGGTGTTCAAAATACCGTATTTCTGCGACATGTGTACCCGGGGTATTCACCTAGCTCATATTATGTACCCGAGTACTTGTGTTTCTATGTATTTAATATGTTTTACTATTAAATGCCCGGGTATATAAGTATGATACTTATATATCCGGGTATAAATCAAGATCTAGCATCCAAAATCGCCGCAGAAATACGGCGTGTTATTTTGCGTATTTAATGATAACAAGCGATCAAAGTTCCAAAAGTTGATTACTAAATTAATGTATAAGATAGATTTACGTCTTCTTGGCTTTTGTCTTCGAAGTGTGAATATTTATATGTGAATGTTTATTACAACTAATCTTAGATGTTGATTAGGGTTCATATTTTATAACACGTGTAATACGAGTTCGAGTTTGTGGTTCAATATCCAGTAATCGAATTTCAAAAGTTTCATATAATACTAAACAGAATTTTTGATTTATTGGATTCAGTTTGCAAAATCCGGTTATGTCTATTTACAGTAAAAGGCAGTTACTCTTTCTTGGTGCTAATCTGAAATTTTACTTTTTTCAATTTTGGATATTCTATATTTGTGTTGCCCCCCGACAAGCTAACAGAATGTGCAAGTTGTTTTTAAATTTAACATATTTGTATAAACCGAGTGCTTCATTATTTTACGTGATTTCCGGTTTTGTCGTGTATGAAATGATCTGATTATGTATATCTTAATACAGTAATAATGCAGCAAGAGTATTGGACCTTAGACTATCACAACAGGAGATAAGCTTTTTTGTTTTAACGAATTCATCTTGCAAAACGTTTAATTAACTTCATGTAATTAAATATGTATCCCTCATTATTTGATAGTCCTAATGTTATCTTATCCAAATTACATATCAACATGAATCTAAGACTATTCTTATCATAGAAATACCGTAGCTGTACAATCGAGCTACGATCAATGATATTTTCAGCATTCCAAAATATGTCGTTCAGGACTTCTTCCGATTGATTACATGTAATAACAAATTTTGGTGTGATCGATCACCATTTCTATAAGTATATTCATTTACTGATGAAATTTCACAATGAACAAATAAAATAAACATGTATATTATAAACTGGATTAGAAACACATAAAAGAATAAATATCTTTATAAATCCGGATTAAAGAAATGTAAATAAAGATATCTAGATCCAAGTATTATTAATTCATTGAATGTAATGTATAATCAACAAGAAATGAATCGGTAATCATTCGCTCCAACCGTTGATAGTGTCTTTCCGTATAAGGCAACAAACCATCTAGTAACTAGATTGTAATGATATAAATGTTCTGTCAATATATATAATAAATTCAACTTTCAGTAAATAATAATAATCTGATAGTAAGTAAACACCTCTTTTATGCCATTAATTTCTAATAATTCATCAGATGAAAATGTTTTTAAGATAGCATGTAATATCGTTTGTGCTGTTCGAAAATATTTGGCATTGGTGTTCCAATCACGGATGTATATAAGCATCTTTTCAATATCTTCTTTTGAAAGAGTAGCAATAATTTTATCAATAGATTCAGATCCTGTGATGCTAGTATCTCCTACAAAAATTAAAATTACGCATAAACAATAATAAAACAATAACAAATAATTGTGTATTTGAGAAAAAGATTGATAATCACCTTCAGCTCGGTTGTCTAGTATTTCTGTAAAAAGATTCAGTAACCTAAATGGTTGATTCAAAGACATGGAAAGACTAATTGCATTTTTATAATCCTTCTTCAACAAATAATTTGCCAAATCCTGTTCTCTAAAATGCCGTAAAAATAATTCAGAAAGTAAATATTGTAATATTCACCAATGATGGAATAAATAAAGTAAATTATTTTGATTGCATTAGTTACTTTAAAATTTGTTCCTCTTCTTCTCTCACACGTTTTTCCATTTCTTCAATGGTGCAATCCTCCCACAAATTTATCAAAGAATCAGCACCACCTGACGCGACTACATTTTCGTCTTTGCGTACCGTAAATGCCCATATTTTTTCTGTATGATTGTCCAATGTAGTAATACATTCATTGGACTTAATTGTCCAAAGTTTGAGAAGACCGTCTGAACTACAAGATATTAATTGAGTTCCAGATGTCAAGAATGAAGCTTTCAAGACAGTATTGGTATGTCCTTCGAAGGTCTAACACATAATTCAACAATAAGTATAAAAAAATAAATAAGAAAACATTAATTAATCTGAACAATTATCTGCGATTATACCTTTAAGCAAGAAAAGTCTGTTGTTGACCAAATTTTGATGGTTTTATCTCCAGAGCTTGTTGCTATAGTTTGATCAACTGGTGAAAACTGGACAGACCAGACACCGCGTTTGTGTCCAGAACAAGTGCCAAGTAATTTCCCGTCAGCGATAGACCATATCTTAACGCTCTTATCTTGTGAGCCAGTGGCAAAAATCTTATCGTTTGGCGCAACTGCTATTGAGTTGATGTCCTTATCATGCGCTTTATTTGTGTATAGGGCTTTTGGTTTAAAATTTTCATCAGATCTAGACCGGTCTAAATTAGAAAAGACAATATTTAAATGAATTATAGGCTTGAAAGATTAGCTCTAATTAACATTATTGTACTCACCTAAATGCGACAAGTCCCAATATTTTATGGTACGATCCTGACTACCAGTGAGGCAAAACTTTAAAGATTTCTTTGAAAAAGCTACAGTCCCAATTGCTGCAGTATGACCTACACATACACCTAAACAATTGACTTGGTTGTCAAAATTTTCATTATCTACATCGATATTCCATATTCTTGCCGTGTGATCTTTAGAACCAGATATCAATACAGTTCCATCATATGATTTGTCAAGGCAAATAACAATATCAGTATGGCCATATATAATATTAAAATCAAAAGATTTAATATTATATAAATTTATTTGCTCTGTATTGGTAGCAATAGCAATGTGTGTTTCATCTTTTCCAACATATGCAAGGTCAATAACTTCTTCATTATATCCGACAATTTGCTTCACACGCTTAAGACCAGAGGTAATTTGGTAAAATAGAATATTTTGATTACTGGTGATTGCAGTCAAAATATTACTTTTACGGAGATATCTAACCAATTGGAGCATATTAAATAAATTAAAATTAATTGTAAATATAATACAAAATTTGAAGAACCAAGAAAATCAAAATATTACGAACATAATATCAGATATTACGTGCTTAGTATTCTTTTCTGGTTCCTGAGTTTGGATAAGTTTACCAGTTTTGATGTCCCATATTCTAATGATTCCTACAACATAATAAGTATATTTACATGAATTATAAATATTCATATACTAATTTTCCCAGAATATGCCATCAGTGGCAAAGATAACTATTGACAAACCCTTATCACCACCAGTATAAAATAACTCTCCCTCAAAATTCTCTTCCTTATTATTTATCATTATGTGGGGCTGCAAAACCCCTAATGTTTCGATTGTCTAAATTAAAAAAAAAAAAAGCATTACACTACTTTCTTTAATTACATAATATGTTTTGGAAAATAATTAAGAAATATACCTCAAAGATTGGAAAGGTTTTCAATAAAATCTTTTTGTCAAAGTCCCATATATTTACAACTTTGTCTCGAGAACCACTAATAAGAAACCGACCATCATTCGACATATCTAATCCACGAATCACACTAACATGACTTTTTAACACAGCAACACACCTATAATGTTTATCAGAATTAAACACCTATAATTAATTTAGCCAATTGTCATAATTTAACCTACTTTCGCTCCTGTAAATCCCATACACGTATATTACAATCATCTGCTCCAGAAATCAATGTCCATCGGTTATCTCTCAAATGAAATTTGAGTGCACTAATTATGCCCCCATGACCTCGAAAGTTGTGTGTACAAAAACCACCTTCAATATCCCAAACTTTAACTGTACTGTCAGCAGATCCTGTAGCGACTAAAGAAGAAGTAGGATCTATATCCATTACTATTATTGGAGCTTCATGCGCCTAATGATTTAAATTGGAAAAATATATTAGAATATAAACATTTTTATCTGTAAAGAAACGAATTCTAAAAAAAATAATTCTACTTTGAAAGATTTTTTTATTTGCCCTGTTTTAAAGTCCCATATTTTTACAATTAAACTTCGACTTGAAGTAACAATGTAGTTACTATCAGGCGTTATCGCGAAGGTAGTAATCAATTCACTATCCTATAACAGACTAAAAAAATTACTACTCAAAATTTCTGATTTATGTCAACATTCTACAAAAAATAATTCCTAATCATACACCACTCAAATGAAGCACTTTCTTTCCATTTTGAAGATCAGTTACTTCGACACTATCACCAATAGTAGTTATCAAGAGATTTTCATCCGGTGATATAGCTACTTTCCCTCCTGTATAAAGAGGTTTGATGGTCTGTGT